CCCCATGGACAAAGGCTGCTGCAGAAAGGGTAGGGAGGGCCCAGGGGAGGCTGCTACAAAGAAGCCTCTGTCTTCAGTGGGCCAGAGTTACCTGTGGACAGAGGATGCTTTGCATCCAGTGGAGCAGTCTCTGTCTGCGGTGAGCCTGGGCCCGCTGAGGGCAGAGGCTGTTCCCCAGCAGCAGTCCCTGTCTGCGGGGAGGGAGAGCTCGGACCCCCTGCGAACAGAGGCTTCTGCCAGATCAGTCTCTGTCCATGGCCAGCCCGGGCTTCACAGCAGCTTCCCCTGGCCCTTCCCTTCCCTCCCTCCTCTGCAGCAGCCTTTGTCCATGGGAAGTTCAGACCCTCACAGACAGGGGCTGCTGCCATCCCTCGCTGCTGCTTCTGTACCAGAGGCATCAGTGCAGGGTGGCAGGCACCTGGTCTGTGCAGGGAGCCAGAGGCAGCAGCACAGGGTTGCAGGGGGCTCCCCAGTAGCCGGGCTTGGAGTGCACTGGCTGCTGGCCCTGCCCCTGGGGACTATCGAATAATCATGTAACCGATAGGATTTCATGCAGTTACATGACTACTTGATTACCTGATATCCTGATAATATCCCTGGTACCCGGATACAGCCTGGGACTGTGGGACAACTGTGCTCCCTGAACTCTCTACAGCCTGGGCTGTCTCCCACAATGCCTTGCTAGTGACCAGCAACAACCCCTCCACTGTTATCACTCAGCACAACAGCATGCAGAGCCCCCCCACTCTGCTAGAGAGCATGTCTGCTCCCAGAGTCACTCAAAAGTCACACAGACACCAGCCAGATCTCCCTCCGCGCTCTTCCTCCCCCCACCCTCCCCAGCACTGTACTTCAGGACTATAATAATCTAATTTATTAATTGGTTTACTACTTCATCAGTGGGAAGTGAATATACACCAGCCTTTGCAAACCTGAGCAAGCATCCTTACCAAACACTTCAGGCAAACTCACTGGTAAAGATAAACAGTTCAACAAGTTTATTGACAACAAAAGATAAGTAAGTCATATTAAATTATAGGCAAAATGTTAGTGTTAGTTACCAAAAGAAAAATATAATTAAGCAACTAGAAATGAGTCTCTCCTCAAGATGTAATTTTTTGGTGAGTCATTTTGGTTGCATCACATAATTACGATGGCACATAAATTATGTTGTTTATCTAAAAATGCAGAATACACAGAATTGAACCATAGTATTAAGGTGCGATGGTCTGTATAGCACTTTTTCTACTGTTTATTTTCTCAACCATTTGAGTTCTTAAGCAGAACAAAAGTGAAGAATATAAAAACTAGTGTAAGAGCAAATGGCTTATCTTTGCTCGCTACACATGGGGAATTTCCTTTAGAGATGAGAATTTCAGTAGACTATTTCATTGAGTTCACTGAAGTAGACTTGCCCCAGCTTGTGACCCAACTTTTTCCCTCAGAAGTGAGAATTCAACTTTCTAGTTTTAACTTACTTTTGAGAGAGCTAACAAGTTAGGCTTCAGTGTTCTCAGTCTAATAGTGTGTTGCTGCTTTGCATTTAAAAATAAAATCTGTTCTTTGAGCTTCTTGAAAGACTTTACAAATATTTCCTCTACTAAGGGGGTGTCTTTTGCAGAAGGCTATTTTCTGTCAGTAATGCCTTTATTTTGGAGAAGGAGCACACATAAAAGATTAGACCTAGAGACAAAGATGTATTTTAGGTCTCTTATTAAACTTATTTTAGACCCTTTAAATTGCATGGAAATTGTATGGAATTTCAAAAAAGAGCTAGATAAATTCATGGCGGTTAGGTCCATCAATGGCTGTTAGCCAAGATGTGTAGGAATGGTGTCCCAAGCCTCTGTTTGTCAGAAGCTAGAAATCGATTACAGGAGAGGGTTCACTTGGTGATTACCTGTTCTGTTTACTCCCTCTGGGGCAGGGGTGGCCAACCAGTTATAGGCAAAGAGCCAAAATAGTTGCGCATATAGCGCAAAGAGCCGGGGGGGGGGGGGGGGGGGGGAGGCGGGAAGTG